TCACTAAATTCAAAATGATGCAAATTTCTTGTAAAATGCATAGATCAATTCAAGGCAATATATGAAGAGGGTATGCCGATGTACCGGAGGCCATTCATGAAGGGGAAGTTGTATATCCATTTCACTGTGGAATTCCCAGACTCTCTGAGCCCAGAGCAGGTTAAGGCTCTGGAGGCGGTATTGCCACCGAAGCCATTGACAGAAATGACAGATATGGAACTCGACGAGTGTGAGGAGACGACTTTGCATGATGTCAACATTGAAGAGGAGATGCGGAGAAAGCAGATGCATGAGGCATATGATGAGGACGAGGATATGCATGGCGGCGGTGGAGCTCAGAGAGTGCAGTGTGCCCAGCAGTGAGTATGATTTTTGAACATTTTCGTCGTTAAACGAAGATGATTGCAGGACTAGTTAAGTAACAATTAGTCTGTACTGGTGGCTTGAAACCTCAAAACTGTGTGTTGTTTGATTTCCTGGGCAGGTATATCATGTTTGCTCTGGGAAAACATTTTGTTATAAAAATGTGAACTTCGTTCTTTGTGAACTTCATTGGCTCTTTTATTTGTTCTTCATTTTCTTGACTTTTTGGCTATTTTTATTGTGAAATGTTGTTTCCATGTTTGTTGGGTGATTACTTGCTTAGCCTGAATAACTGGCGATTTCTCATATCGCTCTCATTCATCATGTACTGGGTGGTTAGTTCTGGGTTTCAGTAAATTGTGGGGCTATAATATGCCCTTTTATTTTAAGTAGTACAAGAAAGGCGATTTTGATTTTGATTTTTTCTTTGGAATTAGTACAGAAAATTTACTCAAATGAAATCCAGAGTCCATATGCATGCTTGAATGTTATTTTATTTTATTTAAACACCTGGGAAAATTTTAATACCGTAACAATCCTAAGTAGCAGATAGACTAGATGAGAATTTTTTTGTGCAGCTTGAATAGTTCAATACGACGCCTAACCACATAGGAGAATCTCTAAAGTTAGACTTTAAGGAGTGGAGGTTTTAGAGATTACTATTAGGTGAATCACATAGGGAAATCTGTGAAATTAGATCTAAGTTTTAGAGATTAATATTAGGTGAATGAAATAGGGAAATTTCTGAAACTAGATCTTTAAAAAGTCGAAGCTCTGGAAATTATCGCTTGTTAAGCTGATAACAACTACTATTTATTGTGACTTATTAATCAAATTTGAAAAATCATAAAGGAAAAAATCATAGACAATTTCTTCTTTTTTTGAAAGAAGAAAAAGGTGTGGCCTCGTAAAACAAGGTAAGGTATCACAATAATGTTAATTTAATTTTAGGATTGGACTTTTCTAGATCCGGATTGGAGGTTGTCTCAGCTTTTGAGTTTAGTATAGGTCTCATTTCGATAATTTAAACAGTTTATTTTGTAAATTTTTTTTATTTATTATGTCTTTAAAAATATAGATAAATATTTTTGAAAATAATTTTTTTTATAACAAATGCAAAAAATTAAACAGATTATAATTATTAAATTGATTTTTTTTAATTAAATGATGTATAAATTTAATGATTTCAATTATTAAAACGAAACTAGTGGATCCTATGACTCGGACAACATCAGTGGAAAGAAGTTAGACCATTAAGGGCTTAAAAAGAATTAAAAAGAAAGGAATTATATAATAGAATTGTTATAGAAGTTAGTTATTTTAATTTTTAATTATTTTAGTAGGTTAAAAAGATAATATAGGAGATATTAAATTTTTTATTAAATAAATGATTGAATATTTCACATGGATGTAGAATCTGCAATTTTGTGAACTTTATTTAGTTATTTATTTGATAAAAATGTATAAAACATTTAGTTATGTATTTAGTGAAAATGTGTAAGACATTTAATAAAATACATATTAATAAGCTAAAAATCAAAACAATGTTAATAAAATACATATTAATATCTCTATACGTTGGGAGCCTATGTTATTTTTTAGAAAAAAAAGAACGTCCGTTTTGTATGATCATCATAAAATCTATGAAAAATTTAAGTTATTGAAAATATTAATTTAAATTATTATTTTTTAAGATGAGAAATATATAGGGGAATTTTTTTTAAGATCTCTAATAATAGTAACTTAGAGGATAAAGGACACCAAAAAAATGGGTGATGCATCAGGTCCCTTAACTATATCGCGTGCATTTTTAATTATTTCATGAACCAAAATACCCTTCACAAATCAACGCAGAAACTAAACCGGATTCCGACGACTGAGCTTCATTCCAAACATTCAACCATCTTTTTGAGCAAGAGAACAGTAGAATTAGGGTTTCAATATCATGTTCGTCATCGACATTAGAGTTTCATTATCTTCTGCAAAAATCTTTCTCATTCCTTCCTCACAAATTTCTCTGACCCCATTTTCACTGTTCATCGTCATCTCAGTTCATCTTCGTCACATTGCATTTTCATCTCAGGGCATATCAGTTCGTAATTAGCGTTTCATCTAACTCTGGTAAGTTTTTCTACAATCCAACGAGTTTTTCTCTAGAAACACAGTTAATTGCATTTTATATTAACCTTCCATTAATTAGAGTTTCAATTTCATAATAAAAAGCTATATGAATTTGAAAAAAGTTATTTCTTTGTGTTTTAAACTTATTCTTGAATATGTTTGTGTGATTTTATCTGTAAATTTCTCTGGCATTTGAATTTCTCTGATATTTGCTTGATGTATGTTTCTTCTTTGAATTTTCTCTGGCATGTTTATTTTGAAAAAAGTTATTTCTTTGTGTTTTGATCTTATTCTTGAACATGTTTGTGTGATTTTGTCTGTAAATTTCTCTGGAATGTGTAATTTTCTCAGGCATTTTCATTTTCTATGCCTGCCAAATTTATGTTTTTTTTTTTAATTTTCTCTGACTATATTTTACATCTATATGTAATATTATTCTTTTGTCTGTGTCTAAGTTTCTTTGGCATTTATAATTTTCTCTGGCCACATCACTTTTCTTCTTTGTGTATCTCTATCATGTTTAATTTTCTCTGATTGTGTATGTAAATTTCTCTTGCATATTAATATTATGGAATAGAAATTTTCTCTGGAATGTGTAATTTTCTCTGGCATTTTCATTTTCTGTGCTTGCTAGATTTATGTTTCTTTCTTGAATTTTCTCTCGCTATATTTTACATCTATATTTAATTTGTAGCGATTTTTGAAAATTTATCTGTCGTATTTATGTTGCTTTGGTTATTTTCTCTAGGAATGAAAATTAGCTGTGGCCACATGTATTCCACATGAAAACACCTAGTATTCTCTTGTCAGCGTCTAAGTTTCTTTGGAATTTATAATTTTCTCTGACCACATTAGTTTTCTCCTTTGTGTCTGTCTGTCATGTTCAATTTTCTCTAGTATGTTTATTTTGTTCAATTCTTAGTTTCAATGTTGTGTAATTTTCTATGGCATGTTTACGTTACTTTGTTTATTTTATCTTGCTAATTGTGGAATGGAAATTTTCTCTGATTTGCCATGTTTATTTTTCTCTATCATATTCATTTTCTGTGCTTGCTGGATATATATTTCTTTTTTGAATTTTCTCTGGCTATATTTACTTCTATATGTAATTTTAACAATTATTGAAAATTTCTCTAGCATGTTTATGTTGCTTTGTTAATTTTCTCTGGGAATGAAAATTTTCTGTGGCTAGATGTATTCCACAGAAAAACAATTAGTACTCTGATATTTAATTTTCAGTGTCTAATTTTCTCTGACATTTATAATTTTCCCTAACCATCTTAGTTTTCTCCCTTATGTGTAATTTTCTTTGACATGTCCAATTTTCTCTAGCATGTTCAATTTTCTTTGGGATTTAATGTTGACATCTTTATGTTTTCATCATTGTTTAGAAATGGCAAAATGTAAAAGCAGCAAAACACCAGAAACACCAAGCAAGAAACAGAAACACTCTCAGTCTTTTTATGATCTAAGATAAAAAAGAAGCAAAACACCACAAATTCCTTGCCAATACACACAAGTCCAAGGTGATGAAGCAACTAGCATCAAAATAAATACCCCAACTTTAAAAGACTCAAGCTCAAGGGGGAAAAAACCTGTTAAACTCCAAAGAAAGAGAGCTCATTACAGCATTTAGTATCGATCCAACCTCTCATTTGTTGTCTCCTTTTTTCAAACACTTAAATTCAATTCAAATCAACTTGAAGAGTTTCAAAGACCCCATTCTGGTATTTGATCCAAGCTCTAACCACTAGAAGAATGGATCCAAGGAAATCTAGGAAATCTGATGATGATGCAGTTGCAATAATCCAACGTTACAATGAAAAAACGAAAGCATTCACAGTTAGTAAAAAGAACTTGACCTTTATAACCAATGACATGACCTTGATTTTTGGTTTGCAAGGAGGTAAATGAGTAATGTCATTAAGATACTCTAAAAAGTCAAAATTTGCATTCCTAAGGAGAAGGTTCTCAAAGGACACAAGGCTCACTGGTTCTGTTCTTAAAAATGTCTTGGTCAAAGCAATGAAAGGCAAGCAACCATCTGACTTCAAAGATGTAGCAATCATTATTACCTTGTACTTGTGTCTCACCCTATTTTTTGAAACAAGTGGGAATTCAATAGGGTGAGTTTTTTATAAAGTACGTGGAACCCCTTGAATCAATGAAACAATATGATTGGTCAGAAGCAATCACATTAACATTGATCGATTCTATCACAGCATTGCACAAAACTCCAGAAAAAGTTACGAGGTGTGTCATTGCATTGCTGGTAAGTATAATTTCCATTTAAATTTACAGTTATGATACTTACAAATTTGTGTATTTAACAAAATTTAATTACTTTAATTTCTATCATAGTATTGGCTATGTGAACATGCGAATATCATTGACTCGGAAGACAGTAACACAACTGACTTCCCAAGATGTGCCAAGTGGAACCTGCAAAGCTTGACCAAACAGTTGCAGAAGACACCAATCCACTCTCTTATACCTCGACAGGTTAGATTTCTATCGCCATTGAAATCTCAGTGAAATTCTAAAATTTCTCTGACCACTGGTTTGTTTCTCTCCTTGTGTCTTGATTGATTGAGATCAATTTCCTCTGAACTTTCAATTTATGTTTCTTCTTTGATTACCACTGGTTTATTTCTGCTATTGTAATGAATTTTCTCTAGAATCCAAATTTCTCTAACTATAATTGTAACACATTAACTTATATGCCCTGATTGATTTTCTCTGATATTTGAATTATGTTGGTTGTTTCATAATTTTCTCTGGCCCATAACTTATATGCCTTGACTGATTGAGATCAGGTTTTTCTAAAATTTCAATTTATGTTGCTTCTTTGATTAACACTGTTTATTTCTGCCCTTGTAATGAATTTTCTCTAGAATCCAAATTTCTCTGACCACAATTATAGTGACATTATTTTATCTTCCTTGATTGATGTTCTCTCATATCTAAATTATGTTGTTTGTTTCATAATTTTCTCTAGCCCATAAAATTAATTGTCCTTGTGTGTAATTTTCTCTAGTCGATAAAATTTTCTTTGAAATTTGTATCCCATTAGTATGATTTAGATTAATTTTATCTGACCCATAACTTATGTGCCTTGACTAATTGAGATCAATTTTCTTTGAAATTTCAATTTATGTTGTTTTTTGATTACCACTGTTTATTTCTGCTCTTTTAATGAATTTTCTCTGAAATCCAAATTTTTCTGACACAATTATAGTAACATTAACTTATATGCCCTGATTGATTTTCTCTGATATCTAAATTATGTTGCTTGTTTCATAATTTTCTCTGACTCATAAAATTATCTCCTTGTCTGTAATTTTCTCTAACCTATACAATTTTCTCTGAAGTTTGTTTCCCATTAGTATGATTTAGATGAATTTTGTCTTTCTTATTTGAATTTTTTCTCTCAGTGAATTTTGTAACATTTGTCTAATAAAAGAGGTTCCTGTTACAGATAGATAACAAGAAGTTAGTTAAAAACCCATAAGAGGAGTTTTGTCTTGGTAAAAAGAAAAAAAAAAAATCAAAAAAGGCAATTGTCAAATTTAAGGAGACATTAGAAGATTCATCTGAAGAAAAATGAGGGAATGAAGAAGGAGAAGGCAACACAGAAGAATAAGAAACAAGCAATGGAGAAAAAGATCAAGCAAAGCAGTGCAGGAGCGGAAGCCAGAGAAGAAAGTGAAGAAGTAAAAGTAGAAGACAAAGAAGAAAATGAATAGAAAGAAGAAGACAATGAAGAAGAAGATAAAGGCACTGAATCTAAAGAGTAAGAAGAAAACAATGAGGAAAGTGATGAAAAAGAACATAAAGAGCTGCTGGAACAACATCATGATAGCATTTGTGGCTCAATAATGCATCAGCCTCCAGAATCTAAGGAATCAAAGGATACTCAAATTGCTGATCTACATTAAAGACTAAAGGCACTTTCTAAATCCAGAATAAAAGAAGAGAAAAATTGAAATAAATTACTTGCAGAAAAGGATATTACAATAAGAACCTTGACATCACATAACTCAGAACTTCAAGAAAGAGACAGCACAAACCAAATGAAACTAAGGATGTTGGAGGTTCAAAAACAAGATGATACAAAAAGAACTCAACAGTTGAGGTAATCAATTTCAGAGCTTGAAATTGAAAATGCTAGATTGCATGAACAAATTTATGAACTATTCGTCCAACTAGCAACACAACCTTACTGAACACCAACACAAGTTCAATCCCAAGGTCAGTGAAAATCTTAAGCCACAAAAAGTTCTGTCCTTGTGTCAACATAACTCAGAGAAATTCCTATTTGTTACATTTTTCTCTGTCAATGGTAATTTTTTTTTGGAATTTAAATTTTTCTGATCACATTAGTTTATGCTGCTTATTTCTATTAATTTATGTTGCTTATTTGATTTTCTCTATCTATTTGCTTATTTGATTTTTGGGACTTATTTGATTGTCATTGTGTATAGTTGAAATAGAAGTGGAACAACAACCAACAACCTAGCAAGAACAAGTGGCACACAAAGAACAACCAAAACAAAAGACAAAAGTCTATGATAACTGGAAAATATTGAATAAAATAAATTTATATATTGAAATATAATCTGTTACTTTAGAGAAATTTAACTTTTACTGATATTTTTACTATCTACACTGAAAAAAAATCCTACATCAATGATAAAGAATTTAAAGGCAAAAGAAAGGAAAGAAAAGCAGCAAGATCCAGAATTTCAATGTCCCAAAGTTGCGAAGGTGACTGGAGGTTCAAAGCAAGCTGCAAAGCAAACAGTGCAAACCACCAAAGACAAAGAGTACTTGATGCCGATGAGTACGTCTTGCCTCAACCAACAAGCATCAGAAAATCTTAGGTTTTTTCACAAACTTTACCAGTTTCAAAATTGGTAAAAGAACATGTAAAAGACATCTTGCAGCACCTATCAAATGTGTCTGGACTCGAGTAAGTACAACGAATAAAATAGAAGATAACAAACGACAATTTACTAACTTATATTGCATTAATAACTATTAAATCCCTTCTTTGTCATTTTGTAGGGCTTTAATCTGGACAAGTGAATTGAATCTCATTACTTTTGAAAATATTGGAAACCAAATAAAGGAAAAAGAAATTGCCAATAATGTAAGTCTTTCATCAAAATTTCTCTGCAATGTTCCATCAGCCTTTATAAACCAATGTTACAATTATAAATGATATTTTTCAGGTCATTGATGGCTATGGAGAGATCCTATTTGCTGATCAAAGGAGAAAAGGACAACAACCAACTTCATTTTTTTTCACATGCATGAGCTTAGTATGTTACTACTCTTTTATTTGATTTTCTCTAGAATTTACTTACTACTTTCTCTTGTTAAGATACTTATTGAAGCCAGTTGTGTCACTAGTCTAATTTTCTCTAGCTAGTTGTCTGCATTTAGAATTTCTCTGTGTATATATTTCTTAAATTCCTGTCATTTTAACTTTCTCATAACCATTTTTTGATTTTCTTTAACCGCAGAACTTCATCAAGATGACGGAAAATCAAACTTTTCGAGTCTCATTATTTGACAAGCATCTTGAAACGACATGGAGGAACTACAGGTTCCTCCATTTCCTAATAAATACCAGGGGCAATGAGAAGTCAACAGATGGAAATCATTGGATCTTACTAGTCTTGGACAAACAAGACAATTTATGGAGGTTCTACAACTCACTAAGGCCAAGACGGAATGATGCACAAGACAAATATATCAAAGATGCAAAACAATTGATAACGAGTGCAAATTTCTCTGATCCATGATAATGTTTATGCGATGATAATTTTCATAGAATCTCATTGATTTGTGTGTAAATTTCTCTCTTATTTAAAAATTATTTTTTTGTAGCAAGATTATGTGGAGAATTTTTTGAAATCTTGTCTTGAAAGAGAAACACAATCATAACCCTCTTTCAAATTGATAAACTCACAAAACACAAATTATGACTTTGAATATGTCAACAATGCTCCACAACAAGACAGTGATTTGTAAGTTCCATACAATATCTATAAATAAGATAATCTAATTTGAATGTTTCTTAAAACCAACTATATCTATAATTTGTATGCAGTGTGGATTATGGCCTATTTGTAAGCTACATAATGAGACAATATAGCAACCATGAACCTATCAGCTCGAAATTGCCGACACAAGACGTAAAGTTGATGAGGGCAAAACTCATAGAGAGATTTGTGACCGAAGTTGGCTGGTCATGGAGAGAACCAATTCAAATACCACTAGAAGAAGAACCAAAAGTATAATAGTAAAAGCACACTAGTGAAAGAAAGACAATGCACACAATGTAATTAGGAATAACCCTTCAATTTGTTTTTTTATACATTAAAGGAATGATGATGTTTGACATATATGTATATATCTTTTTTTGACTAATGTAAACTTCATAGCTATCAATGGTTAAATATATTTTTTTTTATAATGCATGCTAAGTTGTGATTGTCAGCACAATCCACACAGAGAAAATTGTTTGCAGAAATTTCTCTGGTATGATGTTACCAGAAATTCACAGAGAAATTTAACTCATATCTTGCCAAGAGAGTGCCTGTATGATCATGTAATCTATAATGCTATGTGTTGGTACAAAACAATTATCACATTCAAAAAACACAAAGCGCACAGTAACTTTTTCTGCTATTGGCAAATTTCTCTGGATGAATTTAAAGCTTCAAAACACAATGCACAGAGAATTTTCTTTACTAGTGGCAAATTTCTCTAGATGAATTTGACTGGTATTATAAACACATTGCCTATAGTATGTTTCAACAAACACAATGCACACTGTAAATGTTATTGACAAATTTCTCTGGATGAATTTGACCTCACAAAACATAATGTACATTTCAACAAACACAGTGCCCATAGTAAATTTCTCTTATATTGGCAAATTTCTTTGGATGAATTTGACTGGTATGAAGTTACCAGAAATTCATAGAGAAATTTAACTCGTATCGTGCCAAGAGGGTGCTTATATGATCATGTAATCTGTAATGCACTGTGTTGATACAAAACAATCATCAAATTCAAAAAACACAATGCACACAGTAATTTTCTCTGCTATTGGCAAATTTCTCTAGATGAATTTGACCTCACAAAATACAATGCACAGAGAACCTTCTCTGCTAGTGGCAAATTTCTCTGGATGAATTTGATTGGTATTATAAAGACACTACCTATAGTATGTATCAACAAACACAATGCATACTGTAATTTTCTCTGCTATTAGCAAATTTCTTTGGATGAATTTGATCTCATAAAACACAATGCACATTTCAACAAAAACAATGCCCATAGTAAATATCTCTGTTTTTGGCAAATTTCTTTGGATGGATTTGACTGGTATTATAAAGGCACTCCCAAAGTATGTTTCTAAAAGCACAATACAAAAAGTAATTTTCACTGCTATTGGAAACTTTCTCTAGATGCATTTGATTGGTATTATTATATACACACTGTCCAAAAAACACATTTCACAAAACAAAATACACAAAGTAATCAAATGTATTATTCAATTAATAAAATGTATTATCCTCAACTATTTAACATAGGTTCCTTACATGTCCTCTTATTATGGCGATCAATACTTTCACATCGATTACACTTAATCACCCTTTGAAACTCTTCAGTAGAAGCAATTCTGTTCTTCTTTGGCCTCCCAGCTGGTCTCTTACTCAATGGAAGTAAAATCATAGCATCATCAATGCTATACACAAATTTTTTAACAGTTGGAACTGGGCCAATCGAAAACGAGTATGCTTGATGATACATATCAGCATAAAAAAATGGTTCAACAAATGAATTCAAATTCTTTCCATTCCTAAAAATTGCAGCAACAGTATGTTAACATGGATGCCCATTTATTTCGACATGAACGAGTTCTCAACCCAAGATCAACCATAACCAAAGGAAAACAATGCACTTTAAAGACATTATTAGATGATAAACTCACATTCCATGTCCTCCCATCCATGAAAGCCTTCTCTAATACACTATACATACGAGGACAGAGAACTTTATTCCATTTACTAGAGAGCAGCCTCCTATCAGACCTCATAATCATGATTTGCAACCGTATCATGTCCACCAAATTTGTTATTGGCAAGTGCCGAGCTTCTCGTATCCATGAATTGAATGACTCAGCAACATTTGAATACATCTCACCATAATGTTTCCTCTCAAAATATGCATCACTCAAATTTTCATATGGTAAACTTCTTAAGAAAACATTCATAATGTCTCTTCCCTTACTTTTTAATTCATGTAACTTGAAATGAAATGATGCCTTTGTTGGTGCATATGCACATTCTGAAAACTTGGACACAATCGTCTCCCTAACCAAATTTGTGTTTCTACATGACAACATATCCCTCAAATTTCTCTTTAGATGTTCAAGACAAAATCCATGAAACCAATTAGGGAAAAACCTAGCAATTCCTTCAACAATACCACAATGTCGATCTGATATGAAACTTATCACCCTCTCCGATCCCAATACTTCACATAAATGTTCAAGGAACCGACACCAATTGTCTTTATTCTCAGTATCAACAACAGCAAAAGCTATAGGAAATTTGACACTACCAACATCCAAAGAAACTTCGCATAGTGGCCAAATCCAGAGAAAATTCACTTAGTAACCAACTCCTTAGAAAATTCACACATTGGCAATATCTAGAAAAAATTCACTTAGTGACCAACTACAGAGAAAATTTACACAATGACAATATCCAGAGAAAATTCACTTAGTGACCAACTATAGATAAAATTCACATAATGGCAGCATCCAGAGAAAATTCACACACTGACCAAAATCTAGAGAAAATTCACATAGTGGCCACAACCAGAGAAAATTTACACAGTGGCCACAACTAGAGAAAATTCAAAGTGTCAGAGAAAATCACATTCACTCAATTCCCACAAGTATAGAAATTTCACATACTTAGATAAAATTAGATAAATTTATAATTACCTTCATTCCTATCTTTTCCCGTCATAGCAAGCATAGCTCCTTTGTATCGTCCTTTCAAAAATGTTCTATCAAAAAACAGCAATGACCGACAATATTTGAAACCAGCAATGCATGCAGGAAAAGCCACAAACACTATTTGGAAATGCTTGTTATCTTCAAAATCTAACTCAAAATGACTACCTGGATTGCTCTTCAATGCCTTATCGAAATACCACCGTAATTGATCGAATGACAAACAAGAATCCCCATATGTACTATATTTTGCTTTTTCAACCCCCAATCAACCACAGTTATAACTGATTGAGACCCTATACTTGTCTTTCATTTCTTTGACAACATCCACTAGACGAGTTAAAAGTTTTGTACTTACCTCTTCAAGTATTAGCCCGGAAACTAAGCTGGAAGTCATCCTAGCATGTTTACTAGTCCGAACTGCCACACTACACGTATGTTCATTGTTTAAAGTTCTTATGTCAAAAAACCCATTTGTTTTTTCAACTGAAGAATGTACACGCCACATACATCCTCTTGATTCCTTATATGCATATTCTGCCGTAACCCGCAGCTTGTCATTTTTAACATACGTAAACTGAAAACCAATCTCAATAGCATACTTGCATAAAACAGTATGGAATTCAACCACACCACCCTCAAACTTTTGTCCAACACTCATAATATTATTTTGCCAACTAGCTGACAATAACACCTTTTCTTAGTGAGAACAAAACTTAGAGAGTGAATTCCTTTCAATATCCACTAGCCTATCTGTCACGACCCCAACCCGCCTCTAGTAGTTTGGTGCCGCGATGGCCAGTAATCCGAGATTACCGAAGGCCAACTTTCAAAATTCACACACAATCAGAGTATAAATATATAGGGTTCACAAGTGCGGAAGCAATAATCTAAAATACAAGTGGTCCATAAGAGCAGTGCATAAGTCAAGTGGAATGGCATGCATCTTTACATAGCTTTACAACTTGAATACAAATAGAAATGAAGTACAAAAATACATTTTTACATCTTGATCAAAAGGCTTCTCCAGCTGACATGTGTAAATTACAAGCATTATAAGCCGAGAAGCATAATTTTCAAGACTGCCGACATAAATACAAGTTAGGCCGACATAACAAAAACCCAAAACAAGCTTACGAGTCACACCTAGGCATCACCGCCTTCCTGCTCATCACCTACATATATATATATATATATAGAGGGTGAGCTTGGATACTCAGTGAATGGTACAAGTAATAAAGGATTTGCATGTATGACATCCGATATCTTTAACAAAACAATACATAATCATAGCTTATGACAAACGTGGGATAAATCGAGTTCATTTAACAAATCTGTCGAGCCTCATCAATCAAAGTCTTTCAAGTTTCATGGGTGACATTAATAAGGATTGTGCTACAAACGCTTATAGTCCCCTAGCACGTACGGACTTCCAAGATTGTGCTACAAATGCTTATAGTCCCCTAGCACGTACGGACTTTCAAGATTGTGCTACAAATGCTTATAGTCCCCTAGCACGTACGGACTTTCAAGAATGTGCTACAAATGCTTATAGTCCCTTAGCACGTACGGACTTCCAAGATTGTCATCAAAACAAAGCTTACTTGATACATTGCCATCCAAAACAGAGTTTAAACTTGGTACATAAAATAGAGATATCATTCATGCTTAACAAATACTTTTATCAAAACAAGGCAAGCTTTATCAAAACGTTATAACATAACTTTATTAAAAATACCACTCACCTAGCTCTTCAGACGTCAGGGTCAAGGTAAGTCCAAGTCCTACAAATACATGGCAGGGTCTGTTGAATGCACTTTCAACCAAATTCACATGCATACAGATGATCTCGGCATCTTTCAAAACCAAGCTAAGTCAAAACAAGACACTGTTTCTCATCTCGGGAAAACATGCTGGGCGACTACCAGGTCTAGGCCGAGGTCCCACACCTCCTCATCGAGGTGTTGCCTCGATGGCCATATTCAAGGAAATGAAGTCGGGAAAATCTGGGTTTCCCTCTCTTGAAGAACATGACGAACATGAAGAATATGAACATGAGGAAGATGAATGCTAAGATCATAATTTGCTATTACAAAGTCTGAGATTTCATGCTATGAATTCAAAAACGTGGACCTGGGTACCCATACTCGAAGATCTTATGAAAACAAACACAAAAGCATGAATCTTAATGCAAACTTTTGGATCAAACAAGGCTTTTATTCAAGAACACATGAACACCACTTTCTCTTTCTAAAACCAAACTTTCAATCAATGCATGGCTTGCAAATCAGGTTCGATCATGCAATGCAGTTAGATGATTAACAAGAACTACAAGAGTAGGTCAAGAATCTAACCTTAATACACGAATCTAACGGTTAGATCTCTAAGAATCAAGCTCGAAGATCCACTCCTTCACTCTAAAACTCCTT